CTCAACCGCTCATCAAAAATCTATAGAATACCCTCCTTGACCGTGCCAAAGATCACAAGAGTCTACTCAAGGATACTGCATGTAATCTCAGACGAGATGAACTCCCTCGTCTGGTAATCAAGCTGCCTGGCTCCAGAACCCGAGGCCGAGCCCTCACCAATACCGGAACTGCCAACTGGTCTGCCTCGCAATACCACCATACTGAAAATAGTCCAATGCAAACTATCAGATTAAGCATCAAAATATAAAGATTGGGGAATCACAACTCCACAAGCTTTCCGACTTTATCTCAGCCCTTCTTGAATCGAGTACGGATCCTCTGCTTCCAGTAGTACAGGCCCATACTACCTTCCACATCTATCCATACTTTCCTCAAGAAGTGCCTTAACTCAGCCAAGTTACCTTATTTCCAACAATTCCCTCACATCTAAGGCTCCTAGCACTAAATCTTATCATAGGTTTTCCTACGGCAAACTCCACACCACTCTCCGTCATCAGCCGCAGAAGGAACTCCTTCTAACTTCCTCTAACTAGCCCACGAATACAATTACATATTACAAAAACTAGATAATTCTTCGAATGAGAGGTCTCACACTACAACGGTTGGACTCAAACAAGAGCTACGCAATAGGGTTAAAACCTAACCTTCTAAAATTATTTAGTTCCCATAATATGTAACTTAGCGTATTCGTTTACCAGTTAGCTGAAGCTAGTTAGAACTCCTAAAAGGACAAAGCAAGCAACATTCGAGCATCAAGTAACCAGGACCAAGCATATCCTAATCAGGCCATCCTATTACTGACTTGTTAGTACTAGCATGCAAGTATATAAGCTCATCTAGCAGGCATACAAAGACATCTCTCCTAGATCCTTAGCCCTAATCTAGCATGCGATTCACAGATTCACAATTCAAAACATATCACAAACATGTATGGGTATTTTGGGTAAACTTACTTGAGCTTGGCTGATTGCATGCACCACATCCTTTCTTATTTTAGAAAAACCTTTCCTTTAACATATGTTTCTTTTTGAAAACTTGTACAAATCCTCAGTTTGAGTTCAGGCACACCCAAGAGCGTACCCGAATCCCTCAAACCAAGGCTCTGATACCAAGTTGTAACATCCAAAAATCATGACCCAAAAATATCATTTTGATTTAAGTAAAAACAATATTCCAAATAATGGTTCATAGAACCCAATAAAATAATATATCAAACATCATGAAAACCAGAGTATGCCGCATAAACAGAATCCATATGGTGTATGAGATGCAGTTAACCCGAGCTCTTCCCTTTGGAACCGGAAGTACCTGAAACATAAACTAAAACCGTAAGCACAAAGCTTAGTTAGTTTTCCAAAATACCACATACCATATATATATATATATATATCATATATATATATATATATATATATATATATATATATATACATACATATATATATATATATATATATATATATATATATATATATATATATATATATATCATATAACAGGCCCCACCCAAATGAGATACATGTCCCACCCACACTCGACTAATAGTGAGATACGGGCCCCGCCAACACTCAAATAACGGGCCCCGCCCAATTAGATACGCGCCCCTCCCACACTCGGATAATAATGAGATACGGGCCCTACTCACACTCATATAATAGTGAGATACGGGCCCCGCCCAAGCTCGAGTAACGGGCCTCGCCCAATAAACATACATATACAAGTACATATAAGTATCACACAGACAACAAGTATAATAACATAACCAAACGAGGGTCGGCCTTGGTGCCTTAGACCCGCTGAACCAGTGAGGAAACTTACCTCGAATGTTGAATGATAGTTGAATAGGTCCCGGCTCCGAATATCAGCTATACCCAACTCCTAAACAGAAACAATTCCTTAGATACAACTCCAAATGCCTCAACACCCCCCCCCCCCTTATAGGTCAAACTTGGTCAGAGACGAAAGTCAAAAGTCAAGGTTAACGACCCATGTTGACCCAACACGCCGTGGTTCCCTTTGACCATGTCGTGTTTCCTCTTTATCGATACAAGCGGGAAAATCCCATCCAGCACGCCGTGTTTGCTCAAAAACACGTTGTGTTTCGTCGAGCTCTAACAACTTAATATATTAAGCAATTTCCTTCAACATCAAGAGTTCCCAACCTCAGATCTGGACTCAAATGGAAACTTAGAAGGGTAAAGTTTCAAACTTTACCCATAGGGATCACTAAAAAGGATCCAAAACCCAAACCCTAAGTCTTAAAAGCACAAGGCTTAATCCAATAAGCACTTAACTCATTTGTCCAAGCCCCAAAACACAGATCTGGCCTAATTAAGCTAGAAAATCACGTAAAGTTGCCAACTTTACGTTTGTGCATGCCTAAAAGAAGCTCTTAAGCTCAAAAAGAAACTTAATGCATGTATGGGACCAATTCTTCACATAAAGCTTGCAACTTTAAGCATAAGAAGGCCAAGACAAACTCAGATCTGAAATGAAAAGTCCTCAAAACGACCAAACTCCTCCAACCACCCAAAAAGGACCAAAACATGGAATAAGGAGATCTAAACATCTAAAGATCAAGGTTCAAACTTGATACCTCAAGGAGACTGCCACAAGTGGTAAGATTCTGGATCTAAAACCTTCCTTCCAAGCTAGGCACCTTCAAACTCCCAAAACTCCTTCAAATGAGCACAAGAATCCACAAGAATCTCAAAAACACCACCAAGAAAGCTCAAAACTCGGTTTAGGGTTTCATGTAACAAGGGGGCTGGTAAGGAGGTCGGTCAAGGGGACTTAAGGCCTTCAAATAGGATGCAACATACAAAAAATTAGGGTTTCCTTCCCAGCCGCCAACACGCCGTGTTGAGGCACCTCAACACGTCGTATGGGCTCATTAAAGTCTGCGGCCAAGGACATCTCGGCACGCCGTGTTGAGGCTCCAACACGCTGTGTCCCAAAGGAAAAGCATAAACATATTGGAAATAAATTCATACCGAAAATCAAGCGTTACATTTGTACCCATGATCAAGTTATATTAGATTATCGATGAACCATCAATTGATTATATGTTATATAGTTAAATATTTGAATTAGATCACGAACCACGATTAAGTGACGATAAAATTTTTAACAAATGTAAACAAACAAAACATCAGAAAAATATTAAAAATGTATTCAAATATAACATCAAAAAAATAGAAATAATTATTCGAGCAAAACGTCAAAAATAAATGTTACGTACAAAATGTCAAATAAAAAAACATTAAACGGTATATTCAAATAATATATCAAAATTAAAATTTCTCTAAATAAAAATATATATACATAAATTAATAAATTAAATAAAACCAATAATAAATAATAAAATTACAATAAAGAAATTAGTTTAAATTATATTAAAAAAAACATAATAATTATATATTGATTTGAATGAAATGGTATAAAGTGGTTAAGAAGTTTTTCTAAGATTAACGGGGTTTGTTTAAGAAACCCTAAGAGGACAATGGCCGCAATCGTTTTTTTGAGGTGGCATCCTAAAAACACCGTGACCATAGGGGGACACCCGTTTTTTGGTATTATGTTGTTTCCCGTGGTGCCGGTAACAAAGGGCAACGCCCGTTTTGTTTTCTTCCTCCCTTTCTTTTTTTGCTTTTCTTCTTTCTCTCAACGACGTTCTAAAAAAAATAACACTATCCCCTTGGAGATGTTATGGAGAAAAGATGATGAATCAGCATCCTAAAAACGTTGCCCACACCGGACAGCCTAAATAAGTAGCTCCTATTGCTTTGCATTTAGTCCCTAACTAATTTCACTTGCTTACTTTTGGTACAAAATAAAGTTAATCGCGTACATTAACATGTATAACATGTAAGAAAATCAAGTCCCTTGTGCGTGTTATGTTATGGCATTTTGATAATATCAAATTGTTTTCTGTCAATTAACTTTTTAAAAGATTAATGTTATAAAATTGCAACCATGTACTATTGACGTGTGGTTTAAATTACTAACCATTTAATTGTACAATAGGTGACGAGGTAACAGGTGATGTGACTTAAGGGTAATCAAGTTGAGTCGAATCAAATGTTGTCAAGCTTAAAATCTGACTCGACTAAAAAACCTTGAGCTTGAAATTCGACTCGAGTCTCAATTCAAACCTGGGTTTGAGCTCAATAAAACAATCGACACTTTTGACGTGAGTGATTCCTAATTGGGGAATTTGTAACATATTAGTAAATGTGCTTAAAGAGTTGTCATTTACCCAATAATATGATTCCAAATTAATACCCAAACACAATGCCTTTACGAAATAAGTGTAAACAAATAAACCCAATAACCACACACAACAGCTTTAATCAATAAAACAAACAAAAAGCATCACAGAACAACACCATGCCATTGCCAGCCATTCAGACTACATTTCATTTAAATCATGAAAAATACAATGGAACAAAAACAAACAAGATTAGAATATAACACTAAGAATCTTCCATGTGTGTTTTTGTAAGATAAATGAACAAATCGGTCTAATCAATCTTAACTGATGAAAAAAGATAATGAACAAAATAAAAAGACGCGACAAACCCAACTGTCCCAGTAGACAACATAATCGCAACCGCAATAATCAAAGAATACCCAAGATAAAGTATCGCAGACACGGGCCCACTCAAACTTTGAAGCTCAAAAACCAAATAATTTATAGAATACAAAAAAACATAAACCGAAACCGAACCCGAAGCAAAAAAGGCCTTCCACCACCACCCCCAATCCTCCACACACAAATGCATGTAAGTCAAAACAACCGCCACCTCAGCACACACAACAACCAACAACAAAAGCACCACAAGCAAAAACCCAAAAACATAGTAAAATCTCCCGAGCCAAATACTCGAAAGAATAAAAAAAAGCTCAATAAAAAGAGTGCCAAAAGGTAAAGTCCCCGCCCCCCAAAACAAGTAGCCACGAAGGGTATTTTCTCTCGGGAATTTCACGAGCTATTTGGTTAGTCCGAACCGGGTATGTTAACGGGTCGGGTCGCTAAATACCCGCCCAATAAAGTCAATGGAACCGATATGCAAAACCATAACGAAAAAAGAATGAAGTATAACGAGATCGGAATTGCACCCGTGCTATTACTCCCCCATAGAATGAAATTCAAAATGGTTAGAATGATAAAGACGATTCCGGGGAAGAAACAAGAAATTGACCAAGATACCCCTCGCCATCCATCCGATGTCGATTTTATAACACGCCATAGGTAAACTCCGGAATAGCCGGCTCCGGTTCCTAAGAAGAGGTAGAGAACTATCATTCCGGTCAAAAGCATGCCACGTGAAGCCGGAGACATGAATCCTAACGCGGCGAATACGATCGTGACGAATGCCATTCCGGTGATTTGGATTCCGGTTCCGATCATGACACAGAGAAGTTTGGAATTCGTTGGTTCGCGAAACACGTCGCCTACCACGAGTTTCCATCCGGATAACTCTTCGTTCATCTGCGCTTGTGATTCTTTATCTAAATCTTCGTATCGCGTAAGATCGCGTCTCACAGTTCTTAAAAATATAACAAAAACAATTCCCGCCAAAAAAACAATCACAATTGATGAATTAAGAATCGAGAACCAATGAACACGCGATCCTTCCATTTTTAAATACGCGTCCCATCGCGAAGGCCATTTGATGTCACTTTTTATAAACTCAACCTCATAAGTAAAAGAAACTCTCTCTTGTTCTCTTATAACTTGTAGCTTTTCAATGTCCATCGGACAATCCATGGACGCCACGTCATCGTATTGATGAAGTTTCGACATTTTTTCATCGTACTTAACGCTACACGGGAAAACCTCGAACCCGACAATTTCGTATCCGGAAGCTTTCTTTTCGTCATTTGTGGATGAAATTACGCCCATACCCTCCTCCCCTGTGCCAAAGATTTGTACGCTTGTGCCTTCGTATTCATGTACATAGACTTTGAACTTAAGGTGATTGATGATGTAATCATTGTCACTATTTGGAGGTGTGTATCCGATTGGGAAACCAGTCCATTTAACTTTGTTACCATTTTGGTTTGCGAATCTCATTGCAGGTAAGTTATCAAGAATCATGTTGACTTGATATAAATCACGGGTTCTTTGTTTAAGAAGTTTGACTTCATGTTCGGTCAACGGGTGTGTTGTGCATAAAAAGATTGATTCATTGATGTTCATACGAAAACGATAAGGGGAGTTATCGATTTGGTCGCCCATTAAAAGTTCTCCAAGATTTTCTGCACTTTTTTTAATCCCTCCTGGAGGTGTGCAGTATGGGAGACTATAGTAACTGAAGGGTAATTCTGTCTCTATTGATGTTAGAGAGTTGACTTTGGCATATATTTCATCGCGTGTTGAATAGGTGTGCATGTAGCTTCCAGGTAGATAGAATCCATTGCAAAGATGTGAGGTGAAAACTGTGTAAGTGAAAAGAAGCCAATAACTATAAGTCCCTTTTGAGATCAATGACATAGCCATTGGTCTTAAGGAACACCAGAATGATGTCTTAATCAAAGCCACAAATGCTATCACAAAACCTATAAGATATACAGAAATTGATAATCAGATGAGTAGATGACAGATATCTTCTTGTTATAATCATATCTACAAGCTTTTAGCAAATAGCAACTATTGAATTGTTCAGTCTTCACATATAGAACCAAAATAGAATTGAAATGTAATAACTAATCACATACTAGGATATTGAGAAAAAAACAAGATCAGTATTTCTTGTGTAAAGAATTCAGTGGTGTCATTTTCTATGAGAATAAACTAGATATGGAAGAAAAAAAAAGATAGACCTTGAGAATTTTTCCTTTTAAAGTAATCAATTATCCAGCAAATAAACACCTACAGCAGCAGTCGCAAGCAGAAAAGACTAAACATCAGGCGTATTAATTCTAAATACCAAATCAGTTCAATTAGTTGATACATCAAACATGCCTCTGTTCGATAGACGATGATAAATGTGTTCTTACATTTTGGAACGAGCACAAATCACAAATGCTTACAGCTTCGTCTGCAAATTGTGTACGATTGATAATAAATTTACATTTAGAAGCTGAATCGACTAGTTAGAAAATGAGCATAGAGGCATTCATATTCAAATTCATATTAACAGATCTAACTGATTTCAAACTCGAAAAGAAAAACCAAACAATCTGGAGTAGTAATAGATAGGTCAAGAACTCCAATGGTATCGAAATCGTGGACAATAACACAAAGGTGCAACAAAACCTAGTTCATTCTACTTCCGGGCGTATAATTGCATAAACATGTACTGTGAAAAAACGGAGTAGGAGATGGGGTGATAAAAAATGCACCATTTGTAGATCAGGAAAGCTCAGAGCAATTACACCGCAGGTGAGGTTGAACTCCTCCTTAGGGTTTAATGACGGAGACGATGATTGTAAACGGAGGGAATGAACTATGGTCGGTGTCACTGTGTTTTCTAGATGAGATCTCTTTTTTTGTTTTGTGTGTAACGTCGTGTATGAGTTACCTAAGCCCTTTAATATTCTTTTGAGACATTATAAATCATTTTTTTCTTTTGATTTCTTAATTCGGTTGGTTATCGATATTATTTTTCTATATAGATTATTTATGTAGTTTATGTGGAACATATATATATATATATATATGACCATTGTTGTAAATTCATTGTTAGAAAGTGTTTATTTTTTTATATCGTTTTTAGGAATGGACCATTGCTGTAAATTCGTTATTATTGATATATTTTTGTAATTCAGTTTGTCATCGAATTTTGTAATTCAGTTGGTAATCAATGTATTATCGATATTATTTTTGTATGTAGGATCATTTATGTAGTTTCCATGGAACATATGGACCATTGTTGTAAATTCGTTATTAGACAGTGTCTTTCTTTTATTTCGTTTTTAGGAATGGACATTTCTGTAATTTTATGAAATACAATGACTGTTTCGGTAATTTTTTTTATTAGGGAAGGACTTTTTTCTGCAATTTTGTAAATCATAGGGACCATTTATTTAGTTTTGTGAAATATCTTGGCCTTTATGTAGTTTTGTGAAAGACTTGTGAAATAGACCGATAAATATAAGGATAGGTATAAGTAACCATTTTTATCAAATTATTTTATGAGATTTTGATGATAAAAATTAAAATGGCTGGTTATTGCCATGCATGAAAAACCAAGGATTGTAGTCATTGTTTCTACATAAACATGATTAAATGACACCTAAATTTGGATTATGTTGGGTACAAAATAGTTGCCTAACAACGCATAGACGAACGGTACGATCCAGGGCCGGTCTTAAGGGTGTGCAAAGTGTGCAGCCGCACAGGGCCCCCGAGAAAAATAGGGCCCGATTTTAACAAAATTATATATAGTTAATATCCCAATATATATTATTGTATACAAAATGTAAATGTAATTGGCTGTGGTTCAGTTGGTTTAAACTCTTGACTATGTGCTCTTGTTTGTTGACATATGTTACGACGTTTCGATTCTTCTCGTACTCCATTTTAAAAGTTGCGTTATTTTTTTTTATAAGTTTTAGTTTTACCCCTTCACCTTTAGTACTTAGTTTTTCTTAGGGAACTAGTTTTCAAAATGTATATATATAACCTCTAAAGTTTTATAATTTTGCATTTGACCCTTTTTAATTAATTTAATTTATATTTTAATTTTTCTCATAACAGTTCATCATTCTTATATATATATATATATATATATATATATATATATATATATATATATATATATATATATATATATATATATATATATATATATATGGCCCATTTTTATGTTTCGTACAGAGCCTTCAAAATCAACGGACCGGCCCTCGTCCGATCCAACAAAACAAAAAAATTCTAATATGTACATGAATATATATACTTTAAAGTTTTATGTTCTCATAATAATTTTCGTTAGTGTTAGATGATTCACAATATGTATGTTTATACATAATCATCCCTCAAGGTGTAAGTAGTCAAGAACTAAAGAAGTAATTTATTCTTCATGCAGAAGAGATGTCTTTAGGGTCCCTTGTTGATTGAAACCAAAGAAAATGCATGGATGTGCTCAATGAGAGTAAATTACACGAATGGCCCTATGGTTTAGGGTAATTTGCGCGCTTGGTCCCTAACTTATTTTTTTAACTCAGAAAGTCCCTATTGTTTGTTTTTGTTACGCATTTGGTCCCTACTGTTTGTTTTTCTTACGCATTTGGTCCATGTCTTACCTAAAAAGACTATTATTTAAATAAGAAAAAATAGTGGGGTAAGTAAGGTAAGGTGAGAGAGGTGGGGTTGAAGGTGTGTTTTTTTTAATAAATTAAAAATCAAGGGCAAAATAGTCTTTTTAGGTAGGACAGCGATCAAGTGTGTAACAAAAACAAACAGTAGGGACCTTCCGAGTTAAAAAAAATAAGTTAGGGACCAAACGTGCAAATTAACCTAAACCATAGGGACCATTCGTGTAATTTACTCGCTCAATGATAGTGAAACTTGTCTTAAATATTCAACTTAGATTGAGAAATATTATCACTTATGTTCAACATCCGACATTGCACATATCAAGGGAAACGTAGTGACCTTACTAAATTCTACCATTAAGTATGCTTGTTAGGCCATCGGGTATGGGGGTATCTTTGCGCGTAAAGATCTAGGTGGAGGGGTTGTTCACGCGTGAACACCCCCCCCCCCCCCAATGGGAATAAGTGTGGTGCGGATTGGAGCTGGTCAGGGACCTTCACCAACGATTTGATTGGCTATTCAAATTTCAACCGTTTGGGGCATTCAATTTGGGATTGTTAACATTAATAATAATAAAAAAATTCTTTTTTAATTTCAAACATCACCTATATACGACCTATCATAATTTGAAGATCGTTTTCGTATTAGTAGAAATTTATTCTTACGTATAGCTATAGATTTGACAAACAAAATTATGAGTTTTTTCAATTGAGATGGGATGCTAGAGGGTGGTTTTACTACATTTCAAAAATGAACAACAACTCTTAGACAATTGGCATACGAAATAACCATAGACGGTTCAAATGAATATTTGAAAATGTCTGTGCGGGCGAGTCGAGAATCTTAATATCTTTTTTTTAGTATGTTATAGAGTTTTGTGGTGACATATACTTGTAAAATCCGACTAGAAGTGATGGCGAACAGTTGTATGTCGCACATAAAGCTAAACATGGATTTCCAGGCATGCTTGGTAGTCTTCATTATACACATTGGGTGTGGGAAAATTGTTCCAATGCATGGGCGATGTCAATTCACGCAAGGTGATCACGGCGTGCCGACTATTATACTAGAAGCAGTTGTTTCACAGGACCTATGGTTTTGGAATGCATTTTTTGGTATAACGGGGTCAAACAACGACTTGAATGTGCTTGGAGCATCTTCGTTATTAAACGACATTTTGTAGGGTAAAACACCAAATTTGTCATACGTTATAAATGGAAATGAATATAAATATGGGTATTACCTTGGTGATGGGATATATCAAGATTACACCACGTTTGTCAAGTCATACTCATATCCATGTGATGAAAAACGAAAATTGTTCAAGTTAGCATAGGAATCTGCAAGGAAGGATGTGGAACGGGCATTTGGAGTCTTCAAACAAAAGTGACACCTAATCAAACATCCGACACGATCATGGGATAGGGTAAAAATGTTGAAGGTGATGAAAGTTTGTGTTATTTTACATAACATGATAATAGAAGAAGAGGGTATGGCTATGTGTACGTATAGTCCAAACGATATACTTAATCTACCTGCAGTAATACAAGTCGCCAGTCCAGCATACTTCATAAGGCTTTTGGAAATACAAAATAATGAAACACATCACAATCTACGTCACGATTTGACTGAGCACATATAGCAAAGGCAATTCGAACAACACAATAATAACAACGGCGGTAAGAATGAGTACGTGGATGATGAGAACGACGATGACGACGAGGACGATAATGACAACGAGTAATATTTTCTATGTTTCTTATGTTTTTTTTAATAATTTAGGTTTTAAATTTCTACTTTTTATGTTTTTTTAGTAATTTAGTTTTTTAAATTTCTATGTTTTTTAAGTAATGTTTTTTAAATTCTGTTTTAAGTAATGTAATGGCAAAAAAAAAGGATAAATAAGGTGTAGTTGTAACCATTTCCAAGAGCTAGTGAACATGTAGTGGAGATGATGTGGTGCATATGTGACATCACTTTTCTAGTGAACATCTTGTGACCATAGCCCATAGCCTTACTAAATTTCACATGTGACTTACATTCATGTGGTTTGGGTAGGAAAAGGATGCATTGCAACTTGCAAGACACTATCATTTTTTTTTCTTGCATTATTGGACTTGATGTATTGTACAAATGGAACATTGTTAGAGTGTATGCATAAGAAAAACTTGCAGTCATTATCACTATTGCCATTTGAATTTGGATCGTACAACTAGAACAAGTAGTAAAGGATTTCAATG